TTGAATAAATTTTAAAAGATCGATTTAAAAGAAATTATATACCTGCCAAATATATATACTGTTATGGGATCTTACCCATGATAATAATAATGGACTATTCCATACTTAATAAATACTGCACCTCAGGAGTAGGCAGGGAGTCTGTCGTTCACCTCTGAACCGGTTGTTTCGGTTGAACTCTCTGCCTTCGGGCGACCCTGAACCCGTTTATACGGGTTCAATGGGCATATTTTTGGTCCGAGCCCACGGGCTCGTTGATCCCACGTTAAAAAACCGGCCTTGTGCGACATGATGCCCCAGTGGGAGGGTGACTGAATATCGTAAGTTGTTCACTTCTGAACCGACTGTTCGGCTGAACTCTGCCTTCGGGCGGAGAGGAACCCGAACAAGGCTACGCCGAGGGGCGGAGTCTCGTTCGGGGAGGTAAACCGGCCCTGAGCCCGTTTATACGGGTTCAATGGACATATTTTTTGGGACGAGCCCACGGGCACAGAGATCGCAGATTAAATAACCGGTCTTGTGCCACATGATACCCCAGTAGGGGTGGGGTGACTGAATATAGTCAGTCGTTCACCTCCTGACCGTCTGTTCGGTTGAACCCTCAGTCTTCGGGCGGGGAGGAACCCGAACGAGGCTACGCCGAAGGGCGGAGTCTCTTTCGGGGAGGTAAACTGACCCTGAACCCGATTATACGGGTTCAATGGGCATATTTTTTGCCGAGACCACAGGCTCGGAGATCCCACGTTAAACCGGCCTTGTGTCACATGATGCCCTAGTGGGTGGGGTGTGACTGAATATCGTCAGTCGTTCAAATCTTGATCGGCTGTTCGGTTGAACTTTCTGCCTTCGGGCGGGGAGGAACCCGAACGAGGCTACGCCGAAGGGCGGAGTCCCTTTCGGGGAGGTAAACCGACCCTGAACCCGTTTATACGGGTTCAATGGGCATATTTTTGGGCCGATCCCACGGGCTCGGAGATCCCACGTTAAACCGGCCTTGTGTCACATGATGCCCTCGTGGGGGGGGGGTGACTAAATATCGTCAGTAGTTCAAGTCGAGTCAAGAGTCGAGTCAGAGGCAGTCCGAAACAGAGTCGTGTTCAGACAATTACTGCATGACATTGGAATAGTGATACTAGTCGAGACTACATTCTTCTCCCTACTAAACCTGATTGTTTATACTAACACTTTCTACTTCTCTGTATATATTCCTGTTTGTAATATATCTGTGTTATTCCATATCCGTGTTCGAGTTCTTCTTTATTGATTCTACCTTGGACTATCACCGTGGTACAAGGAACCGGACCATAACATATACACATCTTATTATAACTCTGCTTGTCCCTCCCTTAGTTAGCACGACCATTACGCCCTGACACTACTTCATAAATAATAAACTATTCAGTTTTGATCTCGTGGAAAGACGGAAAAAGACATAGCAGAGACTCTAGTTGGTTTCACTTAGATAATCAAAGAAAGAACGAAGGAGAAACAGAAGAGGTGATAATACTCATTGAAATGGAAAATGTTGTAAATTTCAAATCTTTTCATTTGTACCCACTTACTTCTTAAGTATTCATTTTATGATGGTTATTGCCATATTTTGTTAAATTTGTTAAGCTCAAATATTTAACGATGCTAATTTTTACGGATATTTTATTGTCATAGTACTCGCCATGCAGTTATTCAATTATTGAATTAAGATTCACTAGTTGGTTGGTTGATTTTATTTAGTGTCATATCAACATCTATGCCGAAATTTAAATACTTTGAACACAATTTTATGGCTTCAAATAAAAAATTATTGCTGCTCATTTTTCTTTAAATTGTATTTTTAATATATTTTATATAAAAATATATAGCTGGTATTTGTATACTTTCATAATGTTATTTTTTTTTGTTTGAGGGCTCAACTATTTGTCCATAGCTGGGATCCTAACAGGTGTTACCACCTAGGGTCAGGGTGAACTTGGGGACAGCAACAACTAGATGTTGTTCAGCGCCCCTCAAAAGCTACAAAGGCCTTGCTGCCGGATGTAGTCACGCTCAGAACTAAAGATTCAGCAGAACATTCAAATAGGAAAACCGTGAAATTTTCTCGTGTATTTAAATCTGTGCATATATAAATCTGAGGTCTGATAAAAAAACTATCGTGACTGATCTTATATAAAGAAAACTAGAACACATAGCAATTCAGTATTTAATCTCCTTCGAATTAGTTCCTTTCTTAAGCTACAAACTTGATCCAGCGTCGTTTAACATTAATGGATATACTTGTGGAACTCCATTTTCGGGATATCGAGCAACTGGCTCTTTGTATTCTCCTGGATTTCTTCAAGGTCTTTAAATCTTGTTTCTTTCATATGGAATTTGATTTTTAGAAAGAAGAAAAAGTTGCAAGGTGCGAAATCTGGGAAATATCCGTCCTTGCATGGAATATTGCTGTCATATATGGTCTGGTGCTCGCGCTGTACGTCTCGAGGTCCTCGACAAAATCCAGAGACGAATATGCAAGATGATAGATCCTGATCTGGTATATAGTCTACAATCACTATCCCACAGACGTCATGGCTTCTGCGAAACTCCCTTCCCTTTACTTGCTTTCCTGATGACAAAATCTTCAAATATTCAAGTGTAATGTCAATCGACATCTGACAACCTGAGCTTGGTTCACGTCTTTCTCTGTATCCTTCAAATCTATAAATCAACCATGCGTCCTTGCGTGGAATATTGCTGTCATGTATGATCTGGTGCTCCCGCTGTACGCCTCAAGGTCCTTAACAAAATCAAGTGAGGAATATGCAAAGTGATAGGTCCTGATCTGGTAGTCTACAATCGCTATCCCAAGGACGTGCTGTGGTCTCCCTCTGTCCCTTCGACAAATATTTTCACGGCAACTGTTCCGATGGGCTACTTATGCTGGTTCCCGGACTATATGAATTTCAACGAGCTACTAGGCTAGCATCTTGGTCCCACCGTTTCACTGTGAAAACGGTTAAATGTAACTGTCTCTTCTTCTCAAAAAGCTAATTCCCTCGCACTTCCCGTCTGTGGAACTCATTTTCCCTTACTTTCTTCCCCGATGACTATAATCTTCAAATGTTCAAGTGTAATGTCAATCGACATATGACACCCTGAGCTTGTTCCACCTTCTCTGTATCCTTTCCTCAAACACGCCTTTTTACTCTTGTTCTTAATTCTCTCTAACCCCTTGCGTGGCACTCCCGCCTTGCTTGGGTTGAATTGCCTTAAAAAATATAGTGCTTGCCGGAACTAGGAAATGTGCTTTGCCAAAAAACTGCTGCATAAGTCATGGTATTTAATGGAATCTGTGTGGTGTGGTGAGACAACCACACTCTACACACTTTCCTTCCAAGCACTCCTATCATCAACGGAAGTGAGTGAGAACGTTATGTTAGTGTGCATGCTCGACAGTGTACATAAAAATCTATGACAAGCGGATTCAATCTGCGTACGTTAGCTCCGTTACCATAGCAACAGTCCCAATAATTTTTGATCATTCTTCGTACGTGTAAAATAAAGAAAGAAAGAGAGACTGAGAGAAAACCGATGCGTGAAAAAAAAAAAAAAAAAAAAAAAAGAAAAAAGGGAAGAAACAAATAAAGCGGGAATAATAATTCTAGTTTATTTGCCTACTAAAAAAAAATCTCTTTTTTTCAAACGATTTTTTTCAATAAATTAGTTAAGAAATTTCGACAAACTTTTACCTTGTTTTCCCCTCGTCTCGCATTTCATTTACATTCTATTAAATCGACGAGGAAGAAATGAAAAAAAAAAAAATATGCAAAAATTATTAATTTTTTCCGAAAACATTTTACAATTTCATCCATTACTTTTCTACGAAAAATGGACGTGCTAAGAATATCAGCGTTTGTCATCTTTCCGCCTTTCTCATGAATACGGCTTTAGGCAATTATAAACTATCGTGATTACAGACATGTATACAGTTTTACCAACTTATTATCGAATTACCAACTTTATATTATCTGAACATATTTACGTATGGTATAAGGCCAAAATGAAGTGAGACCACGACGGATAGTTTACCTGGGCACGAACACCGACATTTTGTGCCGGCTTCACATAGGCCACAGCCCTAAACAAATGGCATGAAACAGTATATTTATTAAGCTTATACGAGTCTTGTACGAGGTCAGAAGTACAGTGCATCAAGTGAGGATCAAAATCATAGCTGCATCTACTGCAAGGAAAGTTGGGTCACTGTGCCGTGCCAGAAGGTTTTTCTTGTCAGACTCCATCTTGCACCTTTACAAATCTGCCATTCGTCCGTGCATTGAATACTGTTGCCATATCTGTTCTGGTTCCCTTACTATTCATCTCGAGGATTTTGAAAAAATCCAGAGAAGGATCTGTAGTGTAATCGGCTCTGATTTAGCATCTCAAAATCAGTTACTTTCTCCCCGACGTGACGTGGCCTCCCTTTGTCTTTTCTACAAATATTTCCATGGCAACTGCTTTGATGTGCTTTCTTTTTCCCCTGATGTCTGAACTACGTTAGTTTAAGTATGCTACTAGATTGGCATCTAGGTCCCACCCTTTTACTGTTGAAATAGTTAAATGAAACCGCCACTTCTACTCGAAAAGTATCTTTTCTTGCGCTTCCCGCCTGAGGAACTCCCCTCCGTTGCCTTGCTTCCCTGATTACAATCTTCACAAATTTAAATTAAACGTCACTCGCCATCTCCTATCTTCTTGAACCCCGTTCAGCTTTTATCATTTCCTCGGTCCCTCCTACTCTTAGTATTTTTCTGTCACCTTCACTAAACCGCCTGCAGTACCAGTGGCATTCTCACCTGATTTGGGGTGAAACGATTTAAAAAAAGAACAAAAAAAAAACAACTCTCAACTTGCTAACGACTGCACCTTCTCATACAGAGATATATATATATTAACCAGAGACTAGTTTCCAAATTTATCTTTATAGCACTCTCTACATAGCTATAATTGTAAAATCTGTGATTATGTATCTCTTGGGCATATTTTATCGATTATTTTTTTCTTATCAAAGTAAATATGAAAATGTAATTGAAAATCTTCGTATAATTGAAAGTATTCTCTTTTCTTTTTAGGATGTGCCGGCAGGGTAACGGTTATCAGCAGGGAAAATGTAATCGGTGAGGCGATTTCAATTCCTGACCTCGTCTGTTGCATTCATTTTGGCACTATTAACCTCGGAGAAGGCATGCACCCATATCTTCTGCCAGCTACGGTTTAAATAACAACGATGACCGGGCTCTTTAGCCTTGGTTGGAAGCCACTCGAAGAGGAGGACTATTGTCAATTCCAAACTGTGGAGAAGGCACTCATAATTTGTTTTTTGTATTTATTCAACCCCCACTAGGTCAGGTTGTGACACAAGGTCGATTTAATGTAGGGGGACCGAGCGCGTACTCCCGGGCTAGGAACAAAAATTGCCCGCAGCCACCGCAACCGTCGGTTGCGCTGGCCTTGGAAGGACCACTTATCCCTCTCTCTGGTGTAATGAGAAGGTACGGCATTGTGCAGCTCTTCCCCAGAGCTGGGCACCACTCATTATAATTTTCTTCAGTTGCAACTCTGACGGAGCCGCCCCTGAGCGCACACTGGCCAAAGACATAAAACATGATAAATAATGTGTTATGAACTACCCGACAGAATAATTTAGACACTAATATGAGAAGGCGCTCATATTTCCCAAGAAGTAATTGCAATTAACAGATATTAAAAGAAAAAGGAGGTGTGGAGAGTTTTGATCTCTAGCCTTGGGTTAAAATTGAAATTCAACTCCTAAGTGCACTAATACACACATACATACACACACATATATATATATCTACACGCATAAACAAACATATACATATGCACATGCATACATACATACGTACGTACATACGCACAAATACATACACACACAGACACTATCGAATGAAAAAAGAAGTCAGTTTCCTTGTTTCAATGAATATGGCCGTGAAACGTTTGTATATATTTAAGTTATGTACCTATTTATTTTCACTTTTTTTTTAAATAATTGACAGCAGCAATAAGTCGAAGAGGAGGAAAACTTTATCCATTGTCTTTCCGAAGTCCTGACAATTCACAAAAGTCGTAAGACGAGCCAATATAATAAATCGTTTTTATTTTATTAATATATATATATATATAATATAATAAATATATATATATTTATTATTATATATATATATATATATATATATTAATAAAAAAAAAACGATTTATTATATTGGCTCAAATTCCTGACGATCCGTTTAGGTGAAACCTAGGTAGGTTTGTCTGTCTCACTAGGTGTATCTAGGTCTGCTCTACGGTTGTATTGAGCTCTTTTGTTAGTTAGTTGTTTACTCGTATCGGGGTTTTTTCTTTTGGGCTTCATACCTGCATCTGTGCGATTTTTGTCGACAGAAGTTCATGTTTGTAGCTCTTTTTTTTTTTCAAAACCTTTTTTTCCCCTCGAGATTGATTTGATTAGCAAATCAAAAATTCGAGGGTTTTTTCAAAACGAGTCTAGTTATCTATCTATCTATCTATCTATCTATCTATCTATCTATCTATATATATATATTGGTTTGTTTTATTTTCTTCTTCCAAAAAACACCCAGTCTTGGTCGCATGTAGGAAGACCAGTACAACCAACCATACCCGATCTATAACATCGAATAGCCAAGTGTAAATTTGATTAGTTGCCGTTTTCTGGGGGAACTAATTATAAAGCACGACCTAAAGCTAGTAGCAAATTTACTCTGGGTGCAGTATACTTACCGGGCACATGTCATGTATCGCCCAGACGAGGCTCTGCCGAAGGGCAGAGTCTCGTCTCGAGAAACTGACTCCGTTTTTACGTGGTCTATAGGGAATTTTTGCCCGAGCCTACGGGCTCGGATACCCCACTTTAAAACTCGGCCTTGTGCCACATCTTGCTGCGTGGGGTAGCGGGTAAATAATATTTACTCTGGGTGCGGGCCGAATACTGATCATATTCAGTCGGGTCGCCCATCGAAGAAGTCTGTTGTTTATTTAGACCCGAAACTTCTAGTGTCATGGGACCAACAACACTGACGACATACCTTGTGTACTTTTAACAATATTAAAAGAAAAAGTAATTTGCAGAGAGGACATAGAATTAGAAAAATAACCAGTCTCCTGGTTTCAAAAAATATGGTACTGAATCTTTTGTATATACTTAAGTTATGTATGAACACCTCGAGGTGATGTAATGGTTAACAAGCTTGGCTCGCTAGAACAATTACGACTGAGTAGTGAGTACGATTCTCACTGGGTGCACCCTAATATCAGACTTTTGCCACATCTAAGCTACGCTTGGAAAATCATTACTTAAGTTATGTATCTCTTTGTTAATAAATGGCTGTATAAATATTTTTGTAGGACAATTCCCGTTGTTAAACGTTTTTCTTTTCACGATTCGAAATCACTTTGAAAATCTTTATATTTTCTAGTGGAAATTGATTTATAAAGTGTGTGGCTTCAGAAGGGGTCTGTTTCGAAAGAGAATCGATATGTCTTGGAATTTTCTTTTTATAGCACCAATTCCGATACTTTTATTATAATACCTCGTATTATGACACTGCGCAACACACAATGAAATTAAATATCAACCCCTAAGTGCACTAATACACACATACATACACACACATATATATCTACACGCATAAACAAACATATACATATACACATGCATACATACATACATACGAACATACGCACAAATGCATACACACAGACACTATTGAATGAAAAAAGAAATCAGTTCCCTTGTTTCAAAGAATATGGCGGTGAAACGTTTGTATATATTTAGGTTATATATCTTTTTATTTTCATTTTTGTTAATAATTGACAGCAGAAATATTTTCCTGAGACAATTCTTGATGACTTCAGTAAACCATTTTGTATTCCTTGATTCGAAATCACAGAAGAACTTTATATTTTCTATTGACTCTTGGAAGACTTGTTTAAGATTTTAATCCCTGTGTCTGCGTTTTTGAAAAGGTAGCATGCCATCGAATGGGACCTTCAATTATTCATGTTTCCTTTCTTTCATCTCAATTCTTTCCCCCATTCTCTATATATATTCATACCTTTCTTTCATCTCAATTCTCTCCTCCCTCTCTATATATATTCATACCTTTCTTTCATCTCAATTCTCTCCCTCCCTCTCTCTATATATATTCATATCTTTCTTTCATCTCAATTCTTTCCCCTCTCTCTATATATATTCATACATTTCTTTCATCTCAATTCTTTCCCTCCCCTCTCTATATATATTCATACCTTTCTTTCATCGCATATATTCTTTCACCCTCTCTATATATATATTCATACCTTTCTTTCATCTCAATTCTTTCCCCCCTCTCTCTATATATATTCACACCTTTCTTTCATCTCAATTCTTTCACCCTCTCTATATATATATTCACACCTTTCTTTCATCTCAAGTCTCTCCCCACTCTCTATATATATTCACACCTTTCTTTCATCTCAATTCTTTCCGCACTCTTTATATATATTCATACCTTTCTTTCATCTCAATTCTCTCCCTCCCTCTCTCTCTATATATTCATACCTTTCTTTCATCTCAATTCTTTCCCCCCTCTCTCTATATATATTCACACCTTTCTTTCATCTCAATTCTTTCCCCACTCTCTATATATATTCATACCTTTCTTTCATCTCAATTCTCTCCCTCCCTCTCTCTCTATATATTCATACCTTTCTTTCATCTCAATTCTCTCCCTCCCTTTCTCTATATATATTCATACCTTTCTTTCATCTCAATTCTTTCCCCCCTCTCTCTATATATATTCATACCTTTCTTTCATCTCAATTCTTTCCCCCCTCTCTATATATTCATACCTTTCTTTCATCTCAATTCTCTCCCTCCCTCTCTCTATATATATTCATACCTTTCTTTCATCTCAATTCTTTTTCCCCCTCTCTCTATATATATTCACACCTCTCTTTCATGTAAATTCTTACCCCCTCTCTCTATATATATTCATACATTTATATATTTTTCCTTCACCTGGTTTCCTTTCATTTACTTACTTTTCCTTGTTCGTGCTATCTTTCCCCCGTGCTCTCCTCTTGATTTTTTCCACTTGTCCGCCGTAAAAGGTGAACCTGACCTTTACATGACCTTGTATGTCCATCAAGCTTGGAATCATTCCTTTTTTACACTTTCTAAAGGCAGTGTTGAGTACCTTCGTAGCTCAGAGGTGCCGAGCATTTCTCATAAAGCAAGAGATGGTAGTTTAAATCTGTCTGTACGATACAGGATTAGCCCTTTTTATTATCTGCACATTTTTAAAGTTTTATGCTTTTCATCGTCCTGAAAAAAAATCTATGTT